TTATTTTATATATATTTATTCCAAATTTAGAAATTCAGAATAATTCTTAAAATTTTTAGAGAGAGAATTTACTTTTTTTAGAACAGAAGTTTATAAATGCATAAACACTAAGAAAGATGTCAGTGCAAATCCTTTTTTAGTGCAGTACTACGTATTTTCGAGATAAAATCTGAAAATCTGCATATATAAAACAGTTACACAACACTTGATGAGTGGAGTGATGTCTGAAGCCTGAGGCTGTAAAAACTCTTTAAAATTTTTTCTTCCTCCTCTCCATTTTTGGAAAAGAAGTTCTATGTATCATTGAACGGTTAAAAGAAGAAGACAGCACAGAAGTGCTTCAGATTACAGATATTCCACCCTTTAACTGGTTGTGTTGAACGAGATTTCATTAAAGAAACTGATTAATTTTTAAAAATCATCCAAAATGTCATTTTTTTACATCCCTAAAAGCTCCTACTGGACACGTGTTGGTAAAACAGAGGTGGTGGATTCTCACTCCACCCCAGCACGATACACTCTTGTTTAAACGTATTAGGAAAAATAAATATAATACAGTTTCTAAAATTACTTACTGTGTGGTAATCATACCAGCGGGCATTCGGCAGGTAAGCATTCACCTCCACAGCCCCCTGGAATTAAACATTTTTTGGTTTAGATCTATTAAAGCCAAAAAGTAGACTTTAGCCCAAGTCACTGAATCACAGAATGTTCAGGCTTGGCAGGGACCTCTGTGGGTCACCCAGCCCAACTCCCTGCTGAAGCAGGGTCACCTACAGCAGGATGCACAGCACCGTGTCCAGGCGGGGCTTGAATATCTCCAGAGAAGGAGAATCCACAGCCCCTATGGGCAGCCTGGGCCAGGGCTCCGTCACCCTCAGAGGGAAGAAGTTCTTCCTCATGTTCAGCTGGAGCTTCCTGTGCTTCAGTTTGTGCCCATTGCCCCTTGTCCTGTCACTGGGCACCACTGAAAAGAATCTGGACCCATCCTCCTGACACCCACCCTTAAGGTATTTATAAACATTTATGAGATCCCCTCTCAGCCTTCTCTCCTTCAGGCTGAACAAGCCCAGCTCCCTCAGCCTCTCCTTGTAGGAGAGATGCTCCAGTCCCCTCATCATCCTCATAGCCCTTCACTGGACTCTCTCCAGTAGCTCCTCATCTTTCTTGAAGTGGGGAGCCCAGAACTGGACACAGGACTCCAGATGGGGCCTCACTAGGGCAGAGTAGGGCAGTCACTTCGAAGTCCCTTTGAAGATTTTCATCAGTTTCTAACATTTTCTCATTTTTCCCCCAACTTGTCTGACATTTCTATTTCTGGTATTTCACCTGTTTCAGTACGGGGCTGATGAGCAGTGCTGGTCCCCACAGAAATTGTTCATAGATTTCCCACGTCATTTTGTCTTCCACAAACCTGTGCAGTAACCAAAGAGCGGTCAAACCCTCAGTGCCCGCCTTTCCCAGAACGATTCCGCATTGAAGCCTTTTTTCCCAGTAAAATTACCATTTCCTCAACTGTAAGTACGTTACCAGTAACAGTAGGTAATATTTATTACCGATTTATTAGTAAGAGATAGTAATTCTTAAAAGTGAATACCATTTTATTTACAAATATAGCAGCACTCATCAAGAATGTATTCAGTTCCTAATGTGGAAATCGTTAGGGAAATACCTCCTATCTGTTAGTTTTCGTTGCTGCTGTTTCTTCATGTTTGCTGGCCTATATCTACACATATATCGTGATTTTTATTCATTATATTTGGATTACAAAATTTTAAAAATCACTTTTGCTTGGCTTTAGCAACAGCAAAATTAAGTAGTGACCAAATGACTTTCTGATTTGGGCCATTTAGTTTTTTCACAGGTATTTTGTGGGAATCAAGTCTTAGATTACTCTAAATTAGGCCGGGATTTTGTACTGACAATTCTGTGTTTTTCAGCAGAAGACAAGCATTTTTAAATATTTTACTGCATTTTTAAATATTTTACTGCATTTTTAAAGTGATGTCATTAACCAGTCTTTGGCACACATTGCCCCTTCTGACCAGGTACAAATGAAGTCTTATGTCCCTAAAACCAAGTTTTGTTTTTTTTCTTAAATTGCTATAAAAACATTTAAAAAAAAAAATCCTTCTGCATCAGTTTGGCCAAAAGAAGTTACCTTGCCCTGCAAATGTCTCAAGACATTGTGTCAAAAAAACTATTTTTCCCTCTTTTTCTGTTTCTCTGTTTATATTTTTTGCTATTTTTGCAACACTCACTCTCTGATTCTACATACATCCAGTACCAGGCGGAAAATATTCACTGAATGCCACCAGGGGTGGTGAGAATGAGCTGAAAAATTTCTATATTAATTAAATTTATATACAAGAAAAAAATTTTGGCACTCTGGGAAAGCAAGAACTTGAGCTGTCACCGCGAGCTGACGCTGAACATGCGTTTTCTCGATCCTTTGCCAGTTTTACAAGAAAAATCACTGTAACTGAGGGAAAACCTTTTTACGAGAATCACGGAAACCCTATGGACTTGGGTGGAAGTTCAGGATTAATGGAGAAGGAAGGACCACACTCACTCGTGGAAGAGAGGGCGGACGACGGTGCTGCCGTGAGCGTTGGCTTCGTGCATTAACGTGTACAAGTAGGGTAAGAGGGTGTATCTTATATTCAGCACTTTCCTGGAAATGTCTTCAAATGTTGAATTCCAGGAAACAGGATCTTGCCTCTAAACAAGAGAAAAGAGTCTCTCGTTATTCAAACAGGATTATTTTGTCAGGAAGAGGTGGGGAAAAAAGATCTGATGTTTAGCATCTTTTTATCATCTTAAGCGTCACCCATAAATTCACATAATTTAGTGGCAATAATTGCCAAACGTGCCTCAAAATCAACATAACACAACATAGCTGAGGAGGCTTGGGTGGAGCCTTGCAAATTCCTCGCTCTCCTCTATTTTAGAGGACCTTGATTTCTTTCTCTGTTCTTTCACAAAGGACAAATAGCTCTGCTCATCATGACCTAAAGCTCTAACAAGGATAAAAATGCTGTTTCCCTCATTGCCATTTATCCATTTATCTTGATTTTCTATCACTGTGTCCTGAGACAGCAAAGTCCTCTGTTCAGACCGTTATTTTCATTTGTTCTTAACAGAAAGACAATATTTTCTGCAAGAAGTGGGCAAAGTACAGGACTTGTAAATACTCAGGAATCTCGTTCCCTTTTTTAATTTACTGGAAAATGAAGAATCATTAGGGCTGACAACGCTATGGTCACTTTTGCCCCTTGAAATGTCTGTAGCCATAAAAGTCATTATTTTAGTCCTGTAAGTGTGGTACATTTAAGTAAAAATAGTCTGCATGAAAAAATAACTATTTTAGTGTTGTAGAGTTGATGTGCTTAAGTAGAACTGGAACACATGAAAAATACTTATTTTCTTCTTGTAGATTTGCTGTGTTTGCCTAAAAACAGCATAACTGGGGAATACAAAAAAAGTAGGAAAAAGGGGAAAATATGGGAAATAAAAAACTTCCATCAAAGCAAACAGGGAAGGTGCCCACCCTGTTTCCTGCCCCATTGTGATTCCTGGAATACGGGTAAAAGGCGCCCAGCTCCATCCATCGAGCACACAGCTCGTACTCTGAGTCTCCAAAGAAGCCGCAGATATCTGCTCCGGTCTGAAAATCAAAAAGAAAAACATCCGGTGCCTATACTCCACATTTTGCTGACAAAGATAACGGAAATCTAAGGCAATAAATTGGGAGCTTACATAAGATATTCCAAAGAGACTAAACTCCATCATACCTGCAATGAAAAAAAAAAAATCAATAATAACGACTGCGCTTTTTAATTTGGTGTAATGAGTAGATCACACGACTCAGGATGAGAAAAAGAAAATAATTTCCAGAATTGCCCCAGGAAAGCCAGATCTTAAGAAGCAAAGCAGCAGATTGTGGGCAAAAGGGAGAGGATGGTGGGAAGTGACATGGACAGGCTGGAGAGTTGGGCAGAGAGGAACCTGATGAGGTTCAACAAGGCCAAGCGCAGAGTCCTGCACCTGGGGAGGAACAACCCCATGCATCAGTACAGGCTGGGGCTGACCTGCTGGGGAGCAGCTCTGCAGAGAGGGACCTGGGTGTGCTGGTGGACGACAGGTTAACCATGAGCCAGCAGTGTGCCCTGGCTGCCAAGAAGGCCAATGGGATCCTGGGATGCATCAAGAGGAGTCTCTCCTAAGAGGAAAGGCTGAGGGAGCTGTGCTTGTTCATCCTGGAGAAGAGAAGGCTGAGAGGGGACCTTAGAAATGCCTACAAATATCTGAAGGGTGGGTGTCAGGAGGATGGGGCCCGGACTCTTTGTAGTAGTGTCCTGTGACAGGACAAGGGGCAATGGGCACAAACTGAAGCAGAGGAAGCTCCAGCTGAACACGAGGAAGAACTTCTTCCCTCTGAGGGTGACGGAGCACTGGAACAGGCTGCCCAGGGAGGTTGTGGAGTCTCCTTCTCTGGAGATATTCAAACCCCATCTGGACAAGGTCTTGTGCATCCTGCTGTAGGTGACCCTGTTTCAGCAGGGGGATTGGACTAGATGACCCACAGAGGTCCCTTCCAAGCCCGAACGTTCTGTGACTCTGTGATTCTGTGAAGGTGACAGGGGATGAATTTGAGGACAAAGTGGTGCTCAGACCCATGCAACCAAACCTAAATCTTATAGAAACCATAAACATTCTTAACAGGAGACAAGAAGAAAAAAAAGATCAAGAAGAAATTGGCCATAAATTCTGATTGCTCAGCTGATTAGCCCGTTTTGGCTAAAAAAGCACAATTATTAGGGAGGAAATCAAGAAGAAACAAGGTATAAATTGGTTACAGTTTGCGTCAACATACCGATAATAGATTTATCGAGCTGATCCCAGGCTGCGGTATTGTCACCCAGCCAATGTCCCGACCACTTTCCGCTGCTGGGGTAGGTTGAACGGGTGACAACGATGCCTCGCTCCTTCGTCATATTCCGCAAGGCACTGGGAGAAGAAACCAACAGGATGAGAACAAAGATAATTGTAAAAGGTCTTACATATGACTCTGAAAATAAAATTGGTGGCTTGTCTTTCGGTAGCAAAGCGCTGCCTTTCTCTCCTTGTGAGCAAGAGCAGTCATGAACCCAATTGAGATGTGATTTTTGCTGGAATTCACTGTCTCCCACACATCTGCAGAAATGAAGAATGAAGTGTCAAGCAACCCGGAGTTAGAAAATGAGTTGGCAGCACAAGGAGGCACTAAATTAAGGATTTCCAGTTAAGACTAATGGCTTTAGAGGAAAATGGAGGTGTAGCCCAACTTCCACAATTTTTAGGGGTTATGTGACCTGCCCCAGGGCACGTTAGTCCGTTATTGAAACATCAGAAAATTGTCCGCAACATTTAATAATGATACTAACAAAATTCCCACCAAGGCAATAACAACGGTGAGAACAGGAGTGCTGGGAATATTCGACCTGTCAGCACAGCATTGGTTGCCCGAAGGGTGTCAGAACAACAAATAGATCTTTGCTCTGTAATCATCGCAAACGAAAAACGATTATTTGAAATAGCCAGCATAGATTTGTCTGCAAATTACCATATTAAACCTGACATTTTCATCTTGGAGTGAGAGTTTCCCCTTTTCAGCAGTGTTTTATTTATTTTAATTATATTCATTTCAGAATAGCTGTCTTGTAGCCTATATTTTAAAATCTCTATCCTTTTTCCTTCCTTTGATGTAAGGCCGAAAGAAGATCAACACTACAAATAAACCACATTATCACAGAAATAGGTGGAAACAATATTTTTTGTGTACTTTTGAGTTACTCAAAGCACTTGAGACTATCATTGACTAATTGTTATTGATTGATTAATCGAAGTGTTTAGAATTGTTCTTAGTTCTCCATTTGTAAGGGACAGAGGAGTGTTTTGAGGTTGGGTTTTTTGGGGTGAAATTATTCACTTTTAACTCAATTGAAACACTGAAGATATTCAGATGCAAAGAAAAATTATCAGGAAAAAATTCTGGTAAATAAACTGGTGAAACCGTCATGAGAATACAGACAGCGAATAATAATTTGCAACGTATTTTTGAAAGAACAATAAGATGCAGCATACTCAAGGGTGGGTTTTGTTTGCGACCATCCATAAAGGTTGTGGACGTTGTAGTGACTGACAGGGGAACCATCAGGGAGATACTGCTGCCCTTCCATGCAGAGTGTTTTGAAAAGCAATCCCTCTGTTCTAGATCCTAAATCTGTTGGAAAGAGAATGAAGACATCTGTATTTTATCGATTTGCATCCAGTGAGAGTTCTAAAGGGTTAATTTTTCATTGTTATTATTTGCATGATCTTAATTGATGTTAACTTCCTTTTAAATATTTACATGGTCATTTATTTTATTTTAATGAAAACAAGATGTTAGCTTTTCTGAAACTGGATTTCAGAAATTTAGGAAATGCTGAAGTTGGGTTTTAGAAGTTTAGGAAATTCTGAAATTCCTGACCGTCCCACATAAGTTTCTGGGTCTGCAAGAGAAATAGGAACTCTCTTGTCGAGGCTCTTACTGAAGAGGTTTAACAAGTAAACCAAATATATCCTAACTCAGAAAATATTGCAAATCTTCATAAATACTGCCATATCAGCCATACACAGAGAAAACCTGGGGGGGAAGTCAATTTCTGAATACTCTGAGAAATTATATTAGAACACATCAGGAAGTAACAGCAGTATTCTAACCAAGCATTAGTGAGTTATTGCCAATTAGTGCTAATCTACACCCGTACTCGAGTAGAGGCCTGCTAAGGAGAGCAAGTGTTTCAAGACCATTCCTCAATTTAGGCCTTATAATTTTGCATGTAAGTAACTACAAATCACAGAAGGCAAAAGGATATTTTCTGAGGTTTTAGTCGTTAATCACATTTTTCGCCTGGGAAAACTATGCAAAAAGCTGAAAGCCATGTCCTTGACCAAGTCCAAAGCAAATTCCCTAGATAAAAGATAGAGAGCAAAATCTAGCTACAAAAAAATCTTCATTTGGAGAAGTGCCATGTGGGTCATTGTTGTCACCAACAAAGTCTGCAGTTAAGAGTGTCAATCACCGCCAACAACTGGTTGACTTCCTGTTATCACAGGATCCCAGCACGGCAGGGGTTGGCAGGGACCTCTGTGGGTCACCCAGCCCAACCCCCTGCCCAAGCAGGGTCACCTACAGCAGGCTGCAGAGGACCTTGTCCAGGCGGGTCTTGAATATTTCCAGAGAAGGAGACTCCACAGCCCCTATGGGCAGCCTGGGCCAGGGCTCCATCACCCTCAGAGGGAAGAAGTTCTTCCTCGTGTTCAGCTGGAACTTTCTCTGCTTCAGATTGTGCCCATTAGCCCCTTGTCCTGTTGCTGGGCACCACTGAAAAGAGTCTGGCCCCATCCTCCTGATTCCCACCCTGCAGATATTTGTAGGCCTTTCTAAGGTCCCCTCTCAGCCTTCTCCAGGCTAAACAAGCCCACCTCCCTCAGCCTTTCCTCGTAGGAGAGATGCTCCAGTCCCCCCCTCATCCTCGTAGCCCTTCACTGGACTCTCTCCAGTGGCTCCTCATCTTTCTTGAACTGGGGAGCCCAGAACTGGACACAGTTACGGGTTCCTTTATGTATTTGGCTACCTAATTTATCTCATTTGTGCCACATCCAGAGTGTAAGAAGTTCTGTATAAACCAGAGTGACCCAAAATATTTAAATTGTTTACAGCAGCGATCAGACTTACTGGGTAAATACGGCGGAAAATTTAGTTCTTGATTTCTGCAGCCACCAATGGCCCCGTTGACAAAGCTCGCGGGTTCGTTCATGTCCTGAAAACACAAACCAAAATGCTAGACAAACAAGTTTCTCTTAAATTTGGGCAATTAGTTCCTTTCAGATATTTTACGTTGTGCCTCTCTTTGTCAGCAGGCTGACCAAGGAAACGAAATGCACAGAAAAACTCTGATTTTCAGGACTGACTACTGCATTTTTTTTTATTCAGTGTAAAACAGCAGTTCGACAGATTAATTTTTCTGATGAGAAATTCTCTTCCCAGACAGATTCTGAATATCTCATTTCCTGGGGAGTAAAGCATCAAATTCATAGAGATGAACTCAAGGCAGAGGCTTCAGTTTTAAGAACTTCTTATTTACCAGGCAGATTTCCTGAAAAGGGCGGTTTTCCTCTGCATAAAATTGAAATCAATACAGAAAATACAGATACATAAATTGCTAAGATGTCTGAATTTTGTAATGATGGTTCTTGTCCTCAGTGCCTGCGGTCCTCTGGTTGCAGCAGTACACCAGAGCAGGGTTATGGGAAAATAGGGAATATTTTTCTGGGTTTCTAGAGGTTTGGGGACTTTCTATAGCAATATGTTAATATTTAATAGATTCCACGGCTATTGCAAGTCAAATTAATTTACAAAGAAAGCTCAACCTGTCATTTACCTCATTTTGCCTCACAGAAGTAATACTGGTAAAAATAATCGTCTCATTTGAGAAAAAAAACGGGACTTTAGAAACTTATAGAAAAACAACAACACTGCAAAAGAGCGTTAGGCAGGTCAGAAGTAAATAATGAAGTTTTGAGAAATTAAAATCTTTCAGCTGGCCAAAAAAATAAAACAAATAAGGATGCTGTGAACAAGAAGGATTTTTAAACTTCGGTAGAACATTCACGATATTTAGCATTAAACATCTGTATGCTTCCTTGCTTGGAGACATAAGAATATTGTTGAGGCTTGAGGGGTTGAGAACCAATCTTCAAGTAAAAAGGCGCAGAAAAATCTCAGAAATAGAATTTTTTTTACACTTACGATCCATAGGCCGTCAAACTTCAAGCTTCTCGATGCGTTGTGTGGGTTATTGTAGACTTCAGTGATTTCTCTGGTCCACCATTCAGCTGTCGAATTGCGGAAGAAATCTGGGAAAGCTACATATGCTCGGTAGAGCTGTAAAAGTAGCAGATAAAAAGATAAATGAAGTGTAGACACAGGACTGAAACCATCCCACTACTAAAATGCTGGAATTCAGTTTAAATTTAAAACAAAAATTTAATTGTTTCTTAAATAATTCATAGCTTTGCTGCAGTTTTTAAATGTTTTGGCAGAAAGGTTGGACAGTTTCTGCAGCTCACTCTGATGTGAGTTTAGGGGGTTTTAATGTTCTAGCAGAAAAACTGGCCACTTTCTGCATCCGACTTCATAGATTTAATTTTATCCACCAGTTCATTACTATGAACTTCAACGAATCTGCTGCTCACTCTCTATTTATGTCCAAAAAATACCAAATGTTTACCTCCACTTGGGTGTCCCAATCCAGCGAATCATCAACTTCTACATTGGGAAAATCTGGCCAGACCTGGTAGGAGGAAAATGTTAAAATAATCAAACTAAACTGGATATTAAAAAAAAAAATAGTATCAACAGCAATAAAGATTCGCCTCTGCTACATATTCCAATGGTGACGCAAATTGAAGACACTTCCATCGGCAGCATTCAATGTGTCATCTAAATTTGGGAATGTACAAAATATTAGAAGCCTCTTCCTTGACATCTAACCTGGTGTGATGCTTATTTGCATAAAATAGTCAGCTTTCAAAGAACCGCACCTTTGCGTATATGATGTCATCGGTATTGGGCCATTTTATGAAGACGTCCTGCTCCAAACCTCTTGTGAAGGCGGGGTAATCGGTTTCATTACCAGATATGGCTGGATCCTAAAATTAAAGGTGATGCAATTTTACTTTTATGCTCAAAAACCAAATATAGAAACGCTAGTAAATGCATTCTGTATTCCGCAATGACATACTCTAACTTCAAACCAGAATTCAACACTCACCAGGATTAGGATAAACCTCATTCCTTCTTCGTGTGCTTTATTAATTAGAGCTGGCAATCCAGCAAATCGTGGGTTAAGGGTGAAGTCCAGTTGCCGTTCCATATAATCAATATCCACGTACTGGACATCCTACAGTTCACACACAAAAAAAAACTTTAAAATAAAGGGCTTTTTTTTGTCATTTCTGGAATGGCATCATCCACATCACCCACTAGCAAGTTCATCATCCATTTGCAAAATTAGGCAAACTACTGACTTTTCTTTTTAAACAACAAATTGGAATCTGCTGCAGCTGAAAACTCACATTATCAGATCAACACCCTGCCACAACCTACCCGGTCTGAAATCCAGCTTTCACCACTGTATTTATCGTGAAGAAAATAGAAATTCATACCCGCAAGCAAAATAACACCCCTGGATTTGTGTGTAAGTGTAAATATACGTCAGCATGCACACTGCCTGCATACAGGTTACTGTCCAGAAACAAGCGAATCCGTTGCTCCATATCGAATTTGATCCTAATTACAGAATCACAGAATCACAGAATAGTAGGGGTTAGAAGGGACCTCTGTGGGTCATCTAGTCCAACCCCCCTGCCGAAGCAGGGTCACCTACAGCAGGCTGCACAGGACCTTGTCCAGGCGGGTCTTGAATATCTCCAGAGAAGGAGACTCCACAACATCCCTGGGCAGCCTGTTCCAGTGCTCCGTCACCCTCAGAGGGAAGAAGTTCTTCCTCATGTTCAGACGGAACTTCCTGCGCCTCAATTTGTGCCCATTGCCCCTTGTCCTGTCACTGGGCACCACTGAAAAGAGCTTGGCCCCATCCTCCTGACACCCACCGTTCAGATATTTGTAGGCATTTATAAGGTCCCCTCGCAGCCTTCTCTTCTTCAGGCTGAACAAGCCCAGTTCCCTCAACCTCTCCTCGTAGGGGAGATGCTCTATAAAATTAAAGCCATGTTTAATTTAGGTGCAATTTTGTTGGGTCTAAAGCTTCAGCAGCTTTCCCAACAACATGCCAAAAAACAGCTTTCTCAGCAAGGAACAATGTATAATGAAAATAAAGTTGCTTTGTCTTGTTTGCCTTGTGTTTCCCTGTAAAATGCATCAAAAAAATGAACTGTGGCATTAATCGTAGCATTTCTTGCATTGTTTTGAATTACACAATAACTCGAAGCCAGAAATTCAAGCTTCAGTGGCTTTCGACATACATAGGGTATGTTGGCTCTTTTCATGTCTTCCACCAAGTCGGCGATTTCAGTGTCATTTTCATACCCGTAGTGGCATAACTGGAATCCCAGTGCCCAGTAGGGCGGCATGACTGGTCGTCCAATCAGCTAAAAACGAAAGCAGAAGAATGCTTATTGCAAACAGATGGAAACCGAACAAAACAAAACAAACAAACAACAACAACAACAAAACCCAAATGCTTTGAATTTGCAATGGGAGAATCGTACCGCGGTGTATTCTTGCACGACGAGCTCTGGCGTTGGACCCAAAACCATGTAGAAGTCCAGAATTCCCCCAGTGGTGCGATACGTCAGAGCAGGCGTGGGCTGCAAGGTGACATCTGAAAAACGGAGGCAGCGCAAGGAGGCCACAAAGGTCTGAGTGAGGCACAAATCAAACGTTGAAGCAAAACATGTTGAGAAAATAAAGTGGGTTTGGGTTTTTTTCTTTTACCCATTGCATTGCTGTTGAGCAGGAGAACTCCATGGGCGTTGCCATCTTCTTCAAGACCCATATAGAATGGATGGAAACCATACGAATTCAACTTGTACTACAAAAGTAATAAAAGTATTTTCTATTGGAAAGACATCGTAAGCGCTCAGTTGTTTGCATCTACCAATAAATTATCCATTCTAAATAACAGGGTTAATAAATGACTGTAATAAATAACAAGGTTAATAACAGATTAGATATAGAGCTGTGGAGCAGGCAACAAAGAATGTTGCCTGTTGAACACCCAATAGGTAGTGTTGACCAGGAGCAATCACTTTGAGCTATAGATTTTGAGCTCAATTTCTTTCCAATTGCTCAAGGCAGGGAGGGAAGAAAATGCATTTCTAGCTTCAAAAATTGCTAATGTGAAATCACTTCCCTAGGAAGAAACTTCTTCTCAGGTATTTCCAGGTAGGCTTTATCATCAAGACAAGCTGGTGACTTTCTCTTACGTTTCCTTTACTCAAAAAGTTTCAAATTTCCAAATAATAGCTATAATAAGGTACCACTACCCCATGATTAATCCCTTGCTAATCGCCAGTACTCAAGTTATGCAAAATCCAACTCACGGGTATGCTGAAACATGAAATTTCTTTCATTTGACTCTATCAGTTGTCATTCAATCCCAAAGCTGTAGGACTATGCCAAGGTCTGACCCAGGAGGAGAGATCGTAGAACCATAGAATCATAGAATGGTTGGGGTTGGAAAGGACCTTTGGAGGTCATCTAGCCCAACCTCCCTGCAATGGGCAAGGACATCTTCCACTAGACCAGGTTCCTCAGAGCTCCCTCCAACCTGGCCTTGAATGTTTCCAGGGATGGGGCTTCCACCACCTCTCTGGGCAACCTGCGCCAGTGTTTCAGCACCCTCATTGTGAAAAAGTTCTTCCTTATATCCAGTCTACATCTACCCTCCCTTAGATTAAAACCACTAACCCTTGTCCCGTCACAACAGCCCCTACTGAAAAACCTGTCCCCATCTTTCCTATAGACCCCCTTCAAGTACTGGAAGGCCACAAGAAGGTCTCCCCGCAGCCTTCTCTTCTCCAGGCTGAACAACCCCAGCTCTCTCAGCCTTTCCTCACGGCAGAGGGGTTCTAGCCCTCAGATCATCTCTGTGGCCCTCCTCTGGCCCCAATCCAACAGGTCCATGTCTTTCCTGTGCTGAGGGCTTCAGAGCTGGATGCAGGACTCCCGGTGGGGTTGCACCAGAGCACAGTAGCAGAATCCCCTCCCTCGCCCTGCTGGCCACGCTTGTTTTGATGCTGCCCAGGATAGGGCTGGCCTTCTGGGCAGTGGTTCATGTCCAGCTTTTCATCCACCAGTACCCCCAAGTCCTTCTCGGCAGGGCCGCTCTCCATCCCTTCATCCCCCAACCTGTGTTGACACCAGAAGTTGCCCCAGCCCAGGTGCAGGATTGGCTGTCTCCATCACCAAGCAACACCAGTTGACACAAAGCAAAAAGCAGAAATTCCAGAAAAGAAAGCAAAACGGGGATTCTTTTTTTTTATTTTCCCCACTTACTCCAGGAGGCTGGTCCCTGGTGAACATGCCCCAGCTGTGCCAGTTCATGTCGTGTCGAAACGTCGCGTGTTCAGTTTCACCAAATCCGTACAAATACTGGGATGCCAAGCGGGTGGAAATCTGAATGAACATGTCGCTGAAGGTGAAAGTTGGTAGCTGAGAATCCCAGCTGAAAGAGAGGAAAATAGAGCAAGATGACTGCAGTATCGGTGCCGGGCGTAGCTGGTGGTCACCTCATCAAGGCCAACTTGATTGCCCAGAGAAGTGGTTGAGTCACCATCTCTGGAGGTGTTCAAAAAACGTGTAGATGTGGCACTTCAGGACATGGTTTAGCAGGCATGGTGGTGTTGGGTTGACCGTTGGACTTGATGATCTTCGAGTTTTTTTCCAACCTTAATGATTCTATGTTTCTATGAACTGTTTCTCTCTAAAAAATCTCATTACTCACAAATCTTGAAATAAATCTGTCATGGTTAACAAGAAAACTTAAAAAATACTAGGATTTTTTTTCAGAGTTTAATGGGGGAGGGTTGTGCAGATTATGTTGAAACATCACTTTTGAATCAGCTTTTTTCTGTAAGAAACTGAGTCACAACCTGATAGTGTTCTTCCAATGACCGCCGTAAAGGCTGAATTATGGCAAACAGGAACTCAACTTGCAATTCAATTTTTATCAAAGAATGGAAAAAAAAAAAATCAAAAACAGCAAGACAAAAAAACCCAAGCAAATAGATGCACAAAACCCCTTCATAATACTATGGAAAATATTAGAAAGCGTAGAAATTGTTGTGCCTCCCATATATTTGGGAACAGCACAACAGCCTGTGTTTGGAAAGATCTGGCTTTGTATTTGAAGATGATGCGCAGGACTTGTAGCCCGTATCAAAGTACGAGATGACAGGGAAACACCTCAGCCAATTTGGGGAAAAAACAGGGTCTTGCTCAGGTCACCTCCTTCACCCTTCCTCTGGGTTAATATCTGCATAATTACACAAAGTTCAAGCGACCGCTGCTGGAGAAGAGTTTGGTATTTGACAGATGGAGTCATTCTACGGGACAGATGCAAAAATTTGTGTCGTGGCATTTAGAACAGACTGGACAATAAAACAAATAAAGGAAAAGGAGAAAGGAGCAGAACAAAAGGGGAGGGCAAGAAACAGTTAAGAGAAAAATGAAAAGAAAAATAATGGTGTTTAATTTAATTTCATTTATAAATAAAAGAAAAATTAATAAACAACATGAATTTAAAAATAAAAATTTGCAAAATTAAATTTAAAAATGAAATATTAAAAATTGGCAAAATGAAATTTTAAAATGAAATTAAATGAAACGAAATGAAACGAAATTAAATTAAATGAACATGTCTTACATCACTGTCCCTGTGTGTCTGCGTCGAACCTGGACGCCAAATGGTTTGTTCTGAACCATTACGTCATAAAGTCGATTCTCGGCTGTGCTCTCGGGGGACTCGGGGAGATTTAGTGATACTGGCACCTCATATCGTTTGTTTGCGTAATCATAAATCTGTGCATGGGAAATGAATTCATTTCAACATATGTGGAATATGCATAAACAGCAAGTTATATTTTCAAGAATTCGGGATAAAAATAGTGAAAACACTTCCTTGTATTCCTGTCAACAAATAGCAATTAATGTACGGAGTGGAAGACTCCAAGTCGCACACAGAGAATTCTTCAGTTTTTTCTTACTAATAGTGGTCAGAAACCCAAATTACTTAAAATAGTAGAGAAATTTGCTGAGATAAGCATTTTCTTTCAATCTGTATTCTTTCTCAAATTCCTTCCAAATATTTGGGCTGGGAAATAACAAACTCTAAGGCTTTATTTGGAGCCGGGAATGACTCATTTCATTATTTAAATATATTGATTCAAGGGTATTTTTATGTATGGTAAATTAATTTAACATCTTTTTTGAAGTTTTTAGCCAGTTTTAAGAGATTTTTCTTCGGATTTTCTGTATCGTAGAAGCTGGCATGAGTTGATTCAAGACTAAGAGCAATAAAAGCTATTTGGTTAAAAGGAGAAACTTATCTGGATGACAGAGCGTTATTCATCTAACACAAAATTGACTAGAAATATGACTTACGGAAATAACACTCTTTCTATCCCTGGAGCAATACAAACTCAGAGAAATTCCGCGTTACCTTAAATTGCAGCATATGGTCGCTGTGATACTTCACCTCCAGGCGAAGGGTGCTGATGGGAGACTTTGATTTCTCATAGGCTTGGAGGTTGCTGGTGCTGAAGGTGAGATTGGCCACCACACCCGATGACGTGTATTCTACGTCACCAACAGAATAAGGGTGGGCAGGGCTGCTATAGTAGCAGTACGGAACATCTGAATCGGAGGTATCTTCCTGCGGGTGGAAACACGATGAGGGAATTAGTTGATCATTGTCTTTTTTTCCCCAAAAAAAAGAGCTTGAAGTCTCTATGGTCTCTATGGTCTCTGGCTGTTTTGGACACTTTCGAGAGGAGGAACCCAAAATTTATTAGGGATGTCAGATGAGAACTCTCCATCAGCTTTTACAATTCTTTACTCATAAAAATTACCTTTACAATGCCAACTCAGAAGTGTGGTTTGTCTATCAATCATCTCCTCATAGCAAGTTTAAATTCACTTTCCTTTTCTTCTAGAACTGAATAAACGCTCAAATTATTCTGAAGTTATTTTTGGTTAACACCAAAAATCTTCCCACCGCCACATAATTACGATTTCTCCTGAGTATTTGTAAAAATTAAATTACGCCTGCTCACCGCGTCTTAATTCCTTCATTTCACCTTCTGTCACCAAATTCAAAGCCCCTTTTGACTTAAGAAAAGCTTGAAAATATACCAAGTTCATAACCTGACCGGAACGTGCTTCCACATGTGGAGCCGTTTTCAAATATCTTAAATTATAAAAATATTTCTAATCACATGACAAATCTAAGTAAGTTTATCAGCCTTTTCAACCTGTTGTTCCTTCAGCTGTGCCTACCAGGACTTCATCCTGAGAAGACACATCCAAGTTTTAAAATGAAGATTTTTTGGGAATGACGGACTAACGGCATTTGCAGGAGGACTCAAAAGAGCGTTCCCATGAGGGAATATATGCTGGAGTATATTTACAGCCACGTGATATTCAGAAATAAAAATTATCCAGTAAAAAGCTTCAGTATCAGGCATTACGATTTGGGTATACCTGATAACCGGGGACACAACCAGTGAAGTTCACAGAAGGGTGAAACTTTCCTTGAGGTTCAAGAATTTCTTCTTATTCCTGATTCTAGGGGAATCAGGTTTATTTCAATGCATTCATTTATTTATTTACTATTATTTACTTAAATTCATTTATTTTTCAATGAGTATAAGCATAACGTAAAGCAAAAAGACACTCACACACCCCCTAAAAAAAAGACCTTGCACATCCCAGCTGCAGAGGCAGAGCTGCATGAAGATGGTGACCTCAAGTTTATTCTACATTTTACAACTCTAGTATTATTTTTTACCATCTTCTCAAAAATGCCCGTGTCTTCCTCTATTTTTCACTTCCTTCAGAAGACCAGAAGGTGTTGAAAATGACACTAAGTTCAACAAACTGCCTACTTTTCTAAGTCGTCAGAGGGACAGACAAATCAGACGGTTTCTTTTGTTGTAAAAAAAAATAAAAAAATAAAGCTACTGTTCTTAACTTTCTTTTTCCCAATTTGATTTTCACAGATTTTTGCTTACGATCCAGACACAGCCGAGCTGTTCGCAGTTCTCCTTGGACGCGTCCAGACCGGGATGACAATCGTTTTTCTCATTAACACTGGTTCCCAGAGTCCACCGCAATGAGTAAGATTTTCCCAGTTCCAGCTGGAGTCCTTGTATGAGAGCGACCTATAAATATTACACAAGAAACCGTGACTAAATTCTACCTCCCATCAATATTTTTTTCACATAATTAAAAACAAGAAACTGCCCTACGCAGCAAAACTTCACATCTCTGCTCAGACACTCTTATTTTTACAAATTCACACAAATTCCTGAACAAAAATATCCGAAAAACATTTGATCCCGCAAGTCCCATGGAAGCATGCCAGGGGTGAGGAGAAGTGCACGGCTCTTTAGGCTTTTTAGGTTAAAATCTAAATGGCTAAGGAATGTAAAATATTCTTTCCCCTCCTAATATCCACTAAAATCCTAAAGCTGTCCCTCCCCTTAGAAACTGAATGTGCCTGCAGGAATAAATGCAGAAATAAATCTGTGTAGCGTGCAATGTCTGAGGGCAAAATGAAGATACACTCTTTTTAACGTAGTTACCATGATTATTAACATTATTAATATTATTACTAAGGTAGAAAATGTGATGGTGCTTTTTAATAAAATCCTTCGCATGTACTGTGGCATTTACCGTAGTGCTGAGTACTCTCCTTTTCCCTCTATAAAATACTGGCGGTACAACTCCAGAGATGTTTCACACCAGTTTTTCTACCATTATTTACCTGAGTTGCAGCATTATAGGTGATATTATGCGGCGAATTTTGCACGACGTCGTTCTGCAGGACAGTGACTGACACCATTTCCTGGAGCAACCCCAGAACTTTGATTTCCTCAAAAATCAGGTTGTTCGGATCGACATAGTTGTTGTTTGTGACATTCATGTGCAGGACTTTCTGAGGAATCACAAAATAATTTCATGGAATTGATGACATTTCTCCTCATTTAAATTCAAAAGTGACAATTTTTTCTGTGTTTTATATCTTTATAACATTGTGATGTATATTATATATTTCAGTCTTATATGCATAATATACATATGCATATAATATCTTCACTTTTCTTGACACAGAAAAGCTAGGCTCTGTTCAATTATAATTCATAATATTCGACGAGTCCAACCTCTCGACCCGTGCCATGGCTGTCACATCCACTCATGCAGAACTTTCTTATTACCATTAAAAAATCACGATGTAGATGCCCTGGGTTCTGACATTTTCGCACTGGAGACAACTCAGCTACTTTTTATTCCAATAAACAAAGTTTTTTGTCAATTTTTCAAATTTTTGAGACTCACAAACAATCCATTTGTCTCCTTTCTTCACCTAACTGCCACCGATGCTTTAGAGTTTTTCTGCTCTATAAACTGCTATAAACTCTATCAACATTTTTTCTTGATGTTGTTCTGCAACATGGCAGGGAATTGGGAATCTTCAGATATTAAAAATAATTAGGAGAAGAAAAGACGAATATCAGATTTCCATCTTGGTCAATTGACAGCACTTTCAAATGGCACTTTGTCAAATACTTCAATTTTTAGTAAATATTTTAGCGAAATAAGGGGGAGGGGGGAGAATATCCATAGAAAATATTATTGATTAAAATAGGAAATGAAAATGAGATCCTTTAAAAATATATATACTTACATTGGAAACTTTAAAGTCATAAGAAATGTAGGATTTGTTGGTAACTGTGCCTGAAATGGAGAGAAGGAAATTACAGTTGCAGGGCAGAATGAGACAGCATTAAAAAATGAAAGGTAGAAGACAAAAAAAATGTTAATTATTAGTATCATTATCATTACAGTTATCTTCAAAAGCCACCCCACTGAGCTGCCACGAGACCAACAGCGACAATCTCTGAAATTATTGTTTGAAGAGGGAAAAATGACTGTTGATGTTTAACGTTCTGCCAAATCAAATCTTCTGTCAGACTGATCCAGGGTGTCAGTATTTATGCGTTCTCCTGAAATCTTGATTTTTCCGGTAGTCTTTTTCAAGTTCAGAAGTTGCCTGGTGAGTCATGATGTTCTATGCTGCCGGAGCGCCAGAAATCCACAAAAACTGCCCGGTTTTGCACCTTTTATTATGCATATTTCTTTTTTTTTGTGTTATTCCTGGCCTTAGAAAAGTATTTCTTGCTACTTTTGATAGCCTTTCCTAGCTGCCTGTCCGAATCCACTGTTTTCTTCCTACTATTTTTCTCTTAGAAGAAGGACTATAAACTCCAATTAAATCAATACATATTAATGCTAAGTAAGTGCCATTTTAGTGCATACTTCTCATGTATTTTAGTAATTTGACTTAATCTGCTCTCTAAGCTTAAGGAACTTCTCCTAGTTTCTAACCTACATTTTATTTCAGCTACATAAAGCTCAAATATTTTTCCCATCTTTTGGAAAACCCCGTGAATTTTCCCACATGGAAATCACAGAATACAAATCAGAGAAGATCAGGTCTGCCTACAACGCAGCAGCATTAAGAGGAATATGTCATCAAACACAGCCCTTTGCCCTTAATACTGAATGAGGCTGGTGTCCTGGTGACGGAGGATGCGGAGAAGGCAGAGCTACTGAATGCCTTCTTTGCTTCAGTCTTCAGTGCTAAGACTGGCCCTCAGGAATCCCAGGCCCCGGAGGTAAGAGAAGAAGCCTACAAAGAGGATGACTTTCCCTTGGTCGAAGAGGACTGTGTGAGGGATTGCTTAAGTGATCTGGATGTCCACAAATCCATGGGCCCCGATGGAATGCACCCACGAGTGCTGAGAGAGCTGGCGGATGTCATTGCTGAGCCACTCTCCATCATCTTTGAGAGGTCCTGGAGGACAGGAGAGGTGCCCGAGGACTGGAGAAAGGCCAATGTCACTCCAATCTTCAAAAAGGGCAAGAAGGAGGACCCAGGGAACTACAGGCCGGTCAGCCTCACCTCCATCCCGAGTAAGGTGATGGAGCAGCTTATCCTGGAGGCCATCATCAAGCAAGTGGAAGAAAAGAAGGTTATCAGGAGTAGTCAGCATGGATTCACCAAGGGGAAATCATGCCTGACCAACCTGATAGCTTTCTATGATGACATGACTGGCTGGGTAGACGAAGGGAGAGCCGTGGATGTTATCTACCTTGACTTCAGCAAGGCTTTCGACACAGTCTCCCATGATATCCTCCTGGGGAAGCTGAGGAAGTGTGGGCTGGATGAGTGGTCGGTGAAGTGGATAGAGAACTGGCTGAATGGCAGAACTCAGAGGGTTGTCATCAGCGGCGCTGAGTCTAGTTGGAGGCTGGTGACAAGTGGTGTCCCTCAGGGGTCAGTACTGGGCCCAGTCTTGTTTAACTTCTTCATCAACGACCTGGATGAAGAGTTAGAATGTACCCTCAGCAAGTTTGCTGACGACACCAAACTGGGAGGTGTGGTAGATACACCAGAAGGCTGTGCTGCCATTCAGCGTGACCTGGATAGGCTGGAAAGCTGGGCAGAGAGGAACCTGATGAGGTTCAACAAGGGCAAGTGCAGGGTCCTGCACCTGGGGAGGAACAACCTCATGCACCAGTACAGGCTTGGGGTGGACCTGCTGGAGAGCAGAGAGGGACCTGGGTGTCCTGGTGGACGACAGGTTAACTATGAGCCAGCAGTGTGCCCTGGCTGCCAAGAAGGCCAATGGGATCCTGGGGTGCATCAAGAAGAGTGTGGCCAGCAGGACAAGGGAGGTTCTCCTTCCCCTCTACACTGCCCTGGTGAGGCCTCATCTGGAGTACTGTGTCCAGTTCTGGGCTCCCCAGTTCAAGAAGGATGAAGAGCTACTGGAGAGAGTCCAGCGGAGGGCTACAAGGATGGTGAGGGGACTGGAGCATCTCCACTACGAGGAGAGGTTGAGGGAACTGGGCTTGTTCAGCCTGAAGAAGAGAAGGCTGCGAGGGGACCTTATAAATGCCTACAAATATCTGAAGGGTGGGTGTCAGGAGGATGGGGCCAAGCTCTTTTCAGTGGTGCCCAGTGACAGGACAAGGGGCAATGGGCACAAACTGAGGCACAGGAAGTTCCGTCTGAACATGAGGAAGAACTTCTTCCCTCTGAGGGTGACGGAGCACTGGAACAGGCTGCCCAGGGAGGTTGTGGAGTCTCCTTCTCTGGAGATATTCAAGACCCGCCTGGACAAGGTCCTGTGCAGCCTGCTGTAGGTGACCCTGCTTGGGCAGGAGGGTTGGACTAGATGACCCACAGAGGTCCCTTCCAACCCCTACTATTCTGTGATTCTGTGATTCTGTAATACTATGGTTGGTCGCAAATAAAGCAATAAAATCTGTCAGATAAAAGCAGTCATCATCAAGCGATAATATAGCAGCAATATAGTGATAATACGGTAATAATAATTTCAAAATTCCACCTTTAATACAAGCTTCAGTGTTTTAGGAAATGACTTGCAAAAATCACTTCAGAGTAAATGTTGAAGCCACTTTCTGTCTTTTCTGGAAAATGTCTATTGAAGGAAAAAGGCTTCGAAAGCACTGGAAGGACTGAAGTATCCAAAGTTATTTAAATATAATGAGCACCGGATGCCTAACTGAATTCTCAAAAACACCTTTGAAAGCTCAAGATTCTTCATTTTCCAAAAATTCCTTCACCTCAAGACTGAAAAAAAAATTCGTGGTATTTTTCTTGGCAAGGGTATCCCATTGCTGCGGAATCACCTCTGCTTTTCTTGGACGCACTTATATTCCACAGGTATTTGTTTTCATGAGAAGAAAAATTAATGCCACCTAAATACACGGTTTTTTACTTACGTTGAATTCAGTTATGACTTCAGTATGACACTAAACTTTTTTTCTTAAAAAGGATGTAAATTGTTTGACAGAAAAACACTTGGGAGTTGAGTAGTATCAATCACAGAATCACAGACTCACAGAATGGTAGGGGTTGGAAGGGCCTTCTGTGGGTCACCCAGTCCAACCGCCTGCCGAAGTTATTTAAAACTAGTCTCCTTTCTTCTAAATGGAAGATCAAAATTTTCCGTCAACATCACTTGTTAAGTGCTAATCAAATATAAATCTTAAGACAAAATGGTAATATGGAATGAACTAATAAAAGAAAATCAACCAGCCAGAAGATATTATCACAGAGATTATTTTAGATGCTCCCACACTATTTTCAATAATGACATCATTCAAAAGCCTCTAAACAGCTATTTTTCTCCCTTTTTTTGTTACCTGTCAAAATAACAGCACCAGGAAAGGAATTTCAGACAAAGTGTCTGTGATGTATCACAAATATAACAAAATCATTTCAAGCATGTTTTAAGATAGACGGCCCCATTCAAAGTTTTTTTGAGAAAATGGCAATGACTAGATGAGGGAAGACTATATATAAAATCATAAAATGCAGCAGGAAAAAAGACTTTTGAATAGTGATCCAGTTCCTTCCAGATTTGCTAACAGCAGTATATTAGCATTTTGTTTGCTCAGTTTTTACAGCCTGATGCTACTGCTGATGTTCACGGAGAAATCCAGCCTACTGGTTCCCATGTCATCAGATAGGTCTGCCTAGTATCCAAGCCTCTACTCTAATCCTTTTCTCTTTTCCCAGGTGCAGGACCCTGCATTTGCCCTTGTTGAACCTCTTCAGGTTCCTCTCTGCCCAAGTCTCCAGCCTGTCCAGGTCTCGCTGAATGGCAGCACAGCCTGCCGGTGTATCCACCACTCCTCCCAGTTTGATGTCATCAGCAAACTTTCTGAGGGTACACTCTGACTCTTCATCCAGGTCATTGACGAAGAAGTAGAACAAGACTGGGCCCAGTACTGATCCCAGAGGGACACCTCTAGTTACAGGCAATCCAGTTCATCACAAGAGTTTGAGGGGCTTTGGCCCGATTATTATTGCTGAAAAACAAGTTTTCAGGCAGCTACTACTAAAAAGAGAGGTTGGAAGCCACACATGTAGCCCATCCAGCTTCCTTAAATTCATGGAAACCCTGTGGGAATCAAATGCCTTAACAAATTCTGGGTTCGACACACCACCTTTTGAGTTACCAATGTTTCTGCTGATTTCCCCAGGGACAGAACTAACTCCGAACGGTTTGGTAACTGCAGTAATTTTTCACCTTTGACTGAATTTTATTGTGAAACATGGATTATGTGCGTTCTTGTACCCATTGAAACTCTTTTGGGTGCAGAACAGAAAATATATTAATTGTGACAGTACAGTTTAACAGTTGGCAAAACCTTTACATACATAAGACTATTGGGAAATCGGAACAAGTAGAAAAAAAATTTAAAAAAAGTAGGAAGGTTGCATTTTTCCACTGGATGGTGAAAAAGTAGTGATAGCTTATTAGATATTTAAATATTTGAGGGTTTTTAAAATTTATTTAATCTTAAATTTTAAAAATATTTTAAATCTCAATTTAAAAAGAAAAAATTATCCTCCTTCCATGAAATCAGTTTAAAGATTCATATCTGCAAGTATAAATATTTTGGTTGGCATCGTTGCTGCGCGAAGGCAGTTGGTGAAGGCTCACCTGTCGATTCTCCATCATCCCAGAATAACTCCCCGACTGCTTCTTCGTTGTCATCCAGTGCAATGATCAGTCCCATAGGATTCTTACGGCTGAGGGAGCGAAAAACCCCACACAATTTTAACATATAATAAATATCTAGGCGGTCTTTAATGCTCATATTAAGAGAGCAGCATTCAGCAGCATTTCAAAACCGCGCACAGGTCCCCTCTGCTCTGCCTTCGTGAGGCCTCATCTGGAGTCCTGTGTCCAGTTCTGGGCTCCCCACTTCAAGAAAGATGAGGAGCTACTGGAGAGAGTCCAGCACAGGGCTACGAGGATGGTGAGGGGACTGGAACATCTCTCCTACGAGGAAAGCCTGAGGGAGCTGGGCTTGTTCAGCCTGGAGAAGAGAAGGCTGTGAGGGGACCTTCGAAATGCCTCTAAATATCTGCAGGGTGGGTGTCAGGAGGATGGGGTCAGACTCTTTTCAGTGGTGCCCAGCGACAGGACAAGGGGCAACGGGCACAAACTGAAGCAGAGGAAGTTCCGTCTGAACATGAGGAAGAACTTCTTCCCTCTGAGGGTGACAGAGCCCTGGCCCAGGCTGCCCAGAGTGGCTGTGGAGTCTCCTTCTCTGGAGATATTCAAGCTCCGCCTGTACACGGTGCTGTGCATCCTGCTGTAGGTGACCCTGCTTCAGCAGGGAGTTGGGCTGGGTGACCCACAGAGGTCCCTGCCAACCCCTGCCATGCTGGGATTCTGTGAAAACTTTGAGAGCTGTCCTGCATTATTCCCTGGCTGTCCAAAGTTTTCAAGTTCAATGATTTTCATGTAACAGAATATAATTCGTGGCGAGATTAAAATGCTACACAAAAAAAATACCTTCCGGTTAATCATTAATCATGTTTTGTCGTTGGCCGTGGCAGTGAGTGGGGACTGACAGTTATTCCCAAATTTCAAAATGCAAATGTTAGATATTACTAAATATTTCTGCTACTACACATACTACTACAAATACTATAATAATGATGTAATATAGTAATGTAATAATGTAATGTTACTACTAATACTAATAACAAAATTTAATTATACTAATGCTGATGATAATAATAATTCTAAGGTGTTTGTCTGCAACTAGGTGGCCATGGGTACGTTCCTGAAATCACATTTCATGCCAATTTTGGGAAGAAAATGTTCAGTTTGGAGTTTTACCTTGCCACTGTTGTGGTGGCCGGCTTTTGGAAAGGGTAGATGTAGCCTCCTCTCAGGTGAAGCCCTATTTTGTCTGCGGGAAGGTACAGGTCCACCCACTGTTTCCTCCACCAGATGTTCGCACCCTAATTAACAGGGATGAAAAAGGAGGGTTGTAATTCTACTTCATTCTTCCTTTTTCCATAATTCTTCCATTCAGTCAAAGATTTCAGCTCTTTGAATCTCCTTCTTGCTGCCGATGGTCATGAAAGTCAAACCACCATAGGCCAGAACGCTGTACAATGCTACATATCAGTCAGTAACTCTATTTAATTTCAGCTTATTATTTCAACTTACTATATCAGATTGTTTATTTCATAATCAATCCGGTGAGATCAAGTCCTTCTGGGATGTCTGAAGCAAACCATGTCCCTTTTCCACCGACTAAAACCGCCACTACAGCAGTGCGAAATTTCTTCCCAAAAATGAGATTAACAAGAGCTGATGGCAAACCAGTTCATGTATGATGAGTAATACTATATTTCATGTATATATGTATGTATTTACATACATGCCCTTTGCTTAAGATTTCATTAGGCCTTGTCTCCCTAAATCCTTGAACTCAACCCACAGCTACGTGACCTTCTCCCTTGAACATTTAGAAACCCCCACCCAATCGTTCTACTTACTTACCGAATCGTAATCGTACCAGACCGCGTCAGGAATATATGCTTGGATGGTCTCCACTCCCTGGAAGGGGAACACAGGAATTACTTTGACGTTCGAACCCACATTAACCCAGTGTGGTGGGTTGATCTTGGGTGGCCACCAGGTGCCCACCCAGCTGCTCTTTCACTCCCCCTCCTCAACTAGACAGAGGAGAGAAGATACCATGAAAATAGGCCAAAATGTAAAAAAAAATCATCATAAAGTTGACAATGAGGAAACTATTTCTTCTTGTTTTTTTGTTTTCTTTCATGGTTTTCTACGATGATGTCCAAAAAGGAAGATAATAATCTCGGTATAATTTCAGTCTATATAATTGATGACACAAAAATGGGAGGAGGGGTGGATACACCGGCAGGCTGTGCTGCCATTCAGCGAGACCTGGACAGGCTGGAGAGTTGGGCAGAGAGGAACCTGAAGAGGTTCAACAAGGGCAAGGGCAGGGTCCTGCACCTGGGGAGGAACAACCCCAGGCACCAGTACAGGCAGGGGCAGACCTGCTGGAGAGCAGCTCTGCGGAGAGGGACCTGGGTGTCCTGGTGGACGACAGGTTGACCATGAGCCAGCAGTGTGCCCTGACTGCCAAGAAGACCAATGGGATCCTGGGGTGCATTAAGAGGAGTGTGGCCAGCAGGTCAAGGGAGGTTCTCCTCCCGTTCTCCTCCCCATCTGCACTGCCCTGGTGAGGCCCCATCTGGAGTCCTGTGTCCAGTTCTGGGCTCCCCACTTCAGGAAAGATGAGGAGCTACTGGAGAGAGTTCAGCGGAGGGCTATGAGGATGATGAGAGGACTGGAACATCTCTCCTACAAGGAGAGGCTGAGGGAGCTGGGCTTGTTCAGCCTGGAGAAGAGAAGGCTGAGAGGGGACCTTCGAAATGCCTCTAAATATCTGCAGGGTGGGTGTCAGGAGAATGGGGCCAGACTCTTTTCAGTGGTGCCCAGCGACAGGACAAGGGGCAACAGGCACAAACTGAAGCAGAGGAAGCTCCAGCTGAACATAAGGAAGAACTTTTTCACTCTGAGGGTGACGGAGCCCTGGCCCAGGATGCCCAGGGAGGCTGTGGAGTCTCCTTCTCTGGAGATATTCAAGACTCGCCTGGACACGGTGCTGTGCATCCTGCTGTAGGTGACCCTGCTTCGGCAGAGGGTTGGACTGGGTGACCCACAGAGGCCCCTTCCAACACCTAACATGCTGTGATTCAGTGATTCTGTGCTTTAGCAAGGCCATAAGACAGAAACTCACTGTTTGTAACCCATAATTACAACACTGCAAATACGTCAGCTCAGAGGGTATTAACAAACATTGTTAAATCTTCTTAATTTTACTTTTTTCTACTTTGGCTTGTTTCCAATATTTGCTACATTTAACAGAGGTTTTGTTCTCCTAAAAGACGTATGCGGTGTGAGAATTCATAAGCATCACGCACAAGGTTTTGCAGCAGGAAATTCAATGATCCGTACTTTTTGTCTTGATGAACCACAGGTGAAGTGAAATGAAGCGAGAAATAAGCAGCTGGCTCTGAACGAAACGCAGAGGAGGAGGAGGAGCAGAATTCTGCAATGGAAGAGTCAGATTCCCGAAAGGACAGGAAAACAGAAGTAATTTAGCAATGTCAAAATAATGGCACAAGAGGGTAAGATTTTCTATTTAGACAGCAATAAAAGCATGTTGTGGGTTCTCTCACAGAGAGCAGCAAATGAAGGAGAAAAATCCCAACCAACTAGGCTGATGAGGAGTCCAAAGACAAGCATGCAATTGATAGGCTAAAAATGTCAATTTAAGGAGAAAATGGAATTCAAGAAGAAAATGGAATTTCAGAAGAATATAAAATTTAGAAAAAATTGAATTTCAGGAGAAAATTAAATTACAGAAGACGATATTTAAGATGCATGAAAGAAGCATGTAATCAAAGTTTCTGTGAAGACACTTGTTTCCACTGGAGATATATTAAAGGCAATGAACAAGTTCCTCTTTGGGGAATACTCCTTCCTGTTCTCATCATGACAATTCAGGCTGAAATAGGACCAGAGTTAACTTATCAGTATCATCAGAGAAATGGAAGACCCTATTTTTCTTTTTTTTTTTTTAATTTCCAGCTTAAAAAAAAAAAAAGAAGGAGCTTGACTTTGGTGGAAATACATACGTGCTAAATACGGGAGCTCTGATTTTTCAGCTGAAGAACAGCATCATCTCAAGACTGAATAAGATGGAAAATTCCAAGGCAGTTTCAAATCGAAGGAATAAAAGAAACAGGGGAATAGAGCATAGAGAAAATTAACTTGTTTGGGTTTCTACTGCAGCTCTCTGTGGGCAAGGTGTCACTGGTGACTCGAGGTGTCCCCGTTAATTTGTAAGGAAATGTCAAGAAAGCGAGACCTACCGGATCGAGCACGGGGCTAATGAGGAGGCCAGGACCCCACAAGAACTGCTTATCCACATCCCACGTTGCTTCATCAGAGTAAAACCTACACAAATGGGAAAGTGGCCTCATTAATTGCACTTGCTAATTAATAATAGGTTCATTAACTTTATCGTGAGTGATCCTAATGTTTGAAGGTTTTGGTCGTCTAGAATCACAAGTGAAAAGTGTCACATGGCGATGCCCCAAGACTATTTTTGGTGGAGGCAATCTGAGGTCAAGAAAGAGAATTGGTATCTTATTAATTTCATATATATTAATTATGCTAATGCATGAGTGCGCCTGGAGGTGTCTGGTTTAACGTAGTTCAAGAGTTTCAAGAAAATAAAGGTGAGAAAATAACAATTTTAAAATATACATCCCAATGGAGAGTGATTTCATCAGCTGCCAATGATATTCCATAAGCGACAATAATACCAGCGTGGGTATGGAAATTACAGGTGGGCTTTAATGACTCTCCTCATTACCCCAAAACGGTGTTTGGTGAATGTAGACGTCTGCATGTACGCTGACGGGCAGCATCTTTCACAAACTATGGATGGGTTTAACAATTCAGCAATTCATTAACAGCTGAATTAATTTGTTCTAGTGTTGTGAAGGTTAACTTACTCGTGGAGAACCGGCCGTGCCACTGTGTCTCCTTGGACGTGAGCTTTGTAGAAGAGCGTGTACAGATAGGGCAGCAACGTGTAGCGGACATTCAAGTAGTGCTTTGAAGAGTTCACCAAAACTGAGTCCTCTCCAAAGACGGCTGGATCCTGGGGCTGAAATTAAATAATAAATTATTATTATTATTATTATTATTATTATTATTATAAATGTTGCTGCAGCACAGAGAATTCAAGGTACAGCTGAGGGGTGCAGCCAAAAATCCGAGTGGTAAATTCTATAGCAGTAAGTGCTTGTGCATCATTGTAGACACCACCAACATGGACCAAATTACAAATAAGATGATGATTTCAGAAAACTAAATGATGCCAAATGCGTCCTCCAGTGCCTACAATTAACCACTACAAAGCTTTCTGGGGAGGATTTCCCAAAGCATAAGGTTGTAACAGTTTTGAACCAGTTCGCTATTTAATGATCAGCGACAGAAATTCAATTATCAGAATTTAATTTAATTATCGGAATAGAAATGCATACCGCAGAACGAGTTTCTGCAGCAGGATCTACCACTTACTGTGCACTTTTCAGTGTTGTGATTCCTGGAAAATGGGTAAAATGCTCCCACCTGCATCCACCGTCTGCAGAGCTCTTCCGTGGTGTCTTCGAAGAAACCGCAAATATCTGCTCCGATCTTCAAATGAAAAGAGAACGCGTCATTTTTATGGCTCCTTGCATCTCAAATCCCAACCAAAAAACCTCCAAGGACTGAGTTGTAGAGATTTTTTGTCTCGATTCATCCCTAATTGCTAACGAGGGTGATGGAGCC